ACGGTTCCAGTGTCCCCCCTGTTGGGCAACGCAATTGCTTTCGCAGTGGAACAAACCGGCGTTGAAAATCGGCCCAACGGGCGTGACATGTCATGTAACCTACGGATTATCACCACACGCACGCAACGAGGGCATCGTGGGTGGCCCAGTTACAGGCATCATGGGCGGCCTTGAGTTCCCCGGCGAATATTGTGTTGTGATATCAACCCCCCCCCTCCAGGAAAACAAGCAGATGCAGAGGTCGTACTTGAGACCTATGCATCCCCGAGGGGATGCCGCAATGTTCCGCTGAAAATGGCATCACTGGGACCGAACATGCAATCTAAATGCCACTGAATGGACACGTTGCGAGTGTGGACGATGGAGTGCGAGGTTTACTGCTGAGCGTGTGTATGTGTCGTTTCGTCATTGGTGAACACCACTACCATTCATCCCTCCCCAGATAATTTGGAGTTACCAAGTATTTGTTATACATTGTCCACGCAAGGTGGGCGGGATCAACTAAAAAAGCACAATTCCCACTACATGAGGTTCTTCAAAACCGAACATGATACAAGGTCTCGACACTGTTCCGAGTGGTTTGTACCCTGTTTTTGTTTTGTTTCCTCGCNCAACAGGATCAGACTCGCTAGGAATAGCCTATTCGACACCATACAGGAAACCCGTACCGTGGGTGATGGGCTTCTTGGGGCTGTGTCTCATGAGGTAGTGCGCGAACGTCGACACGGTCTTCACCATCTGCTCATCGTAGCACAGCCACTGGTTGAAGTCCATGTTTTCCGTCCATGCGTTGTTCAAGATGTCTTCCAGCTCTCTGCCGGTGAAGCGACGTCAAGAAATGAAAGACAGAAATTTGCAAGGAGGTGTTGCGTTAGTTACAATGGTGTGAAAAATGTGTGGGACATCAATGGACATGCGAACGCACACCCTGTGATTTACACACTAACCACGCGAACCGTTGCTATGATAGTCCCAACCGTACGATGGTCCAGCCTCCAATATTCGACGCGGGGGGCGGATGGGGAGGACAATGACATCTACTTTTTGTTGCACGACATGCTGAACCCTTTTGGGTCTGGGAGCTACGTTCTTCGCCGGTCTGCCAGTCCCAGGTTCCGTTTCGACATTTTGTTTTTCACCACACAAAAGACAAAGGGGGGAGACAGTGCGGGAGAGAGGGAGAAGTGCAGGAATAAAGGCAAGTGTACTTTTGTAGACACCACAACTACCTCCACCTATTCGCTACTAGGGCAGCCCGCGACAGGGCAGTAGCATCTCGTAGGGTCACCCAAGGGTTCTTGCGTCGCGGTGCGGCTGGCCTCCAACTCTCTTTTCAGTATTTATAACCCTAAGCCCCGACCCATAAACTTGACTTTTGTACTTCTCTGTCACCCGCGAGTGTAAGCCCCGCCGACGCTCTAGAGTTCCTTCCGCATTAACACACTACCACAGCTCGAAGAACTTGCCAATACTCCAAGTGGAGGGATAGAGACGTCGGCAACTCCACGACTTGCTACCATACCAGCTGTTGGAAAAAAATCAATCAAATTACAGTCAGAAGGCCTGATGTCCAACGAGGATTTGAACTAACCTGATGTGCCACTTCGAATCGAACTCTGGGTTCGGGGTCTTGTCCTCGCCCGCCCAACGAGGAGGAGCGTTGCCGTCCGAGCAGTGAATGAAACGGCAGTACAACAGCTCGAACAAGTCGCGCGACATGCACTCCCTCACTAGAGGATAGTCGTCGTGTAGCGACCTACTCCAGTGCTTTCTCATGCGCGTTTTCTTCGTGAGCCCCATCGTGATCGTGATGCCAAGCATACCGTAGATGTGCTTCCGCTCGAATGCGGGTTCGGGCAGCGTTACCATGCCGAGAGTTCTCGTCTTCTCCACCTGATGCGCTTTCCGCGTGTCCTTCGCTCCCGGGAGTGATGGCGTGGTGCAAAGGTTCACGTACTTGTTGGTCTGCGAATAGACCACGTTTCGCGCGGAAAAGGGCAGGGACAACACGACGAAGGAACGAAACGATCAGCATGGCATTCGCATTAGAGGTCGCGCCGACGCGCCGAATATACACGAGGAGGTGTTGTCACTGGCCCAAGCCGTGGCAGACCAACCATGTCCGATTCACCTTTCATCTGCATACTCTGTCCCCAGGCGTCTTGGAACGTCAACAACATTGAAAGGGCGCACAACAAACTTTTTTGTTGCACACCTACGTAGTACCCATTTTCAACAGTCCCTCTTTTTTTGCGAAGGTGTATGTACCACTGTTCAATGGGGGCCCCGCGTGGGAGGTGGGGAGCTGATTTGGTAAGGTAGTCCTAACGCGAGCTTCCATCGTCTCTTGCAAACCACAAGCATGATACACAACACTGACTGGAGCTCTTCACTCGCTCCATGTATGCGTCGCTACCGGAAATACCTGCGTGCTTGAACATATTATAGGATTGGATCTACTTTCGGGCAGTGTAACCAGTGCTCACCTTGTCAACAAAAAGATCAATCGCCTCGTCCGGGAACATCATGTCGAAGCACGTCATCATCGACCCATGTAGCGGGAACTTGCCGGACTCGTCGAGGCTGTCCATGAACGTATCGAGGGAGGGCAGTTTCTCGCGCGCGGACGCCGACAGCGAGGCAGCGCTGACCGTCTCCCGCTGGGTTCTTTTCTTGTGGTCGTCTGTCCCCGCAAAATCAGGAATGCCGCGGTCCGTCCACACGACGTCCTCGTCCTCCTCATCCTCGTCCTCAACCTCCTCCTCCTCCTGCTGCTGCTGCTGCTCCTCTAGCTCCTCCCTCTCCCGCCGCTCCTCCTCCTCCACCTCCCCGCGTGGTCGATGCTGTTGTATTTTGTTTCTCTCATCCGCCTTCTTACGCCTCGCCTTCTCCTCGTCGGCGATCTTCTTGAGCTGTGTTGAATACGTCATTGACAAACAGCGTCGACAGCGGATTCAACGCGGTCGGTGTGTCAATTTACCCCCGGAGTGTTGTGTCCAATGTGCAAAAAAAGAATGACGCACGACGCTACGGTGTCACCAACACCGACGAAACCAAGGAGCGAGGGGTAATAACATAGGCCGGCAGGGTGGGCAGGTCACGCACGTGCATTTATATACTACCTCTGAACTCAACGTTCGTCGCCCGCTGCTAACAATGTAAACCACACCCGTGCTGAACAACAGCAGCCTGGTACAGAGGCGTCAACCTCAACAATGCTTACGATCATGCAAGCAACCAGGGAGGTGTCGATTAACCAACGCGTAAAGATACTATTTCTTCGAGGCAAGCGACAACACGAGCCGAACGGAAGTGCATACCTTGATCCGCGTTTGTTCATTGTGGATAGGGTACTCGCCATATGGTATCCCAAGCGAAAAAAAAAAAAACTGTGGAAGTAGTATTTAGCGATGCGCACTCATTTTTTTTCCCTCAAGTTTACACTACCATCATCTCTATCGTCTTCTCTTTGATCCGCCTGTTCGTGCGGACAATGCCAACAGAAGAGCCTACCCGAACACAAACGTACCTTCATACCCAGCGCCCTCCTCTTGTTGGTCAGCCAGAACGCCCGCTTGTAACCCCGCTCCGGAATCTTCTTCATGGCCGTGACCAGCTTTTTCTGGTTCTGCGACATTGTAGCGAAGGCGCCCGGGGTTTGCTTGTGGTCTACGTCCCCCCCCCCCGATGCTGCCGTCGGAATCATAGTTGGCATTGTCGTCTTTGCCGTTGGCCTTCGAGGAGTTCCTCCCACCAGTCGGTGTAGTCTTGACTTTTTTTTTGGCACCTCTCCCATCCCCTGGCGCAACCCCCGCCGTGCGCTTCCCTGGCGCAACCCCCGCTTTCCGCTTCCCCGGCGCAACCACCGCCTCGCGCTTCTTCCCTGGCGCAACCCCGGCCTTGTGCTTCCCTGATGCATCCCTGCCCTTGAGCTTCTTGTTCTCCGCTGTCTGCCCCGCGGTAGGTCGCTTCACCACGACCTTCGGCCCGACCTTGCCCTTCTTTGTCTTTCGCGCTCCAGCCTGTCTCCCCTCCGTCCCGCTGCTGCTTCTACTGCTGTTGCTGCCGCGCGGGAGAGGTCCCATGCTGAACTCGGGATGGTCCTCCTCTTCTCCGCCCACCATTGAGGACCCTCCCGCCTCCCCGCCTGCTGTGTAAATCGCTGACGGCATCAACGTCACCGTGCCTAGTTGCAGCTTCGCTGATGCAACGACTTCGACGAAGGAAGCAACTGCATCGTGTCCAAGCTGCAGACGGTCGAAGTGGTTGAGGTTATGGTTTTGATTACGCGCTAGCCATGGATTCGCGTGCTCTCGATAGAGTAGATGCACCCAGTGATCTCCTTCCTCGTCCATTTTGTCTTCTTTCTCGAACAAGAGCATCCCTGCCGTGTTGTTTTCTGAGTATGCCTGGACTGTGCCGTGCTTAGCGCTTGGCTCCCACAGAATGATATTCACCCCGTACTCCGAGGCCAGTAAGGACATCCAGGTAACGTCAACTCACTTCTCCGCACTTTGCCCGGCTAGATCGCAAAACCACCTACCGTCGTATCCTCCGCGGCCATCCCGTGTTCGACATCCCCTAAAACATGCGGTACCTTCACACTCAGGGCCCGCCCAAGTTGGTCTTTTGAGAGTACCGCTGTCGAGTCCTCAGGGACATCGGGTGCGCCGACGACATGTTNGTTGGGAGTCCTCGCTCTACCCAGGCAAACTTGCAGACCCGCACGCAGCACGTTCCACCCGCATTTGCCAACCCCCTCTACAGTATGCACACCAGCTCCAGCCAAGGGTGTGATAACCCTCCCACCTTGTGAAAATGTTGCGCTGCACTTCAAGCTGAGCGCCTGAGGCCCACCGATGTGCTCC